GTGTCTCGGCCTCAGGAGCCTACGTGAGGGCTACATTTTAGGAATTAAATTGATAACTTGACCAAATCGATTTCATTAGTGAATGTGTCATATTTGCCGTTAATGATGGCGATCGCCGGAACGGGAGCTGACAAGCGCCCTTGAAAAACTGGGCGGATGGAGATTTCATCAAGCCGGCGGCCGCGCATTCCAACACTCGGGCTGGGACGCGCCTGTGCTGTCTGCTCACACCGCCCGCCCTCCGTGCCCGTCTCATCATCCGCCCTGAGCTGTGTGGTCCCGAGGTCGCGGGCCCAGGCGGAGGGAGGCTCCTGGTCCGACCCTGGCAGGGGCCGAGGGAGGGTGACCCAGGCTGGGGTCGCCCCAGAGCAGTGCGGGGCATCTCCCGGGGGGTGTCCGCGCCCTCCCGACAGACGGGCACAGCCGATGTCGGCCGCTCCTGGGACACGATGTCCATCCGAGAAGGCTCAGGCGTTCCCGAATGCTCACGAGACCCAGGCCGGCCGTGCCCTCCTCCCTCCAACCAGACCGGGCAGAAGCGACGCCGCAGAGGTGGACGCGAGGGCTCCCCGGGCTCTCAGCCTGGTGGGGCCCCGCCGTCTCTGGGTCCCAGTGGGCTGCGTGCGGGGGGCCCGTTAGCAGACGGTGCTGCTTTTCTGCGACTGGTCCGTGCGAGGTCATGGGGCCGGGACCCCGCACGTGAGCAGTGGGCTCCTCTGATCCCCTGGAAGGGACCTGGCCTGTCTGTTCTGGAGGCCTCCTCCCTTAGGGCCTGGGAGTGGGTCCTGGGAACCACATGGTGCGGCCCAGCCGGAGCAGGAGGGGTCTGGCCGTCCTCGAAACCACCAGGCCACGCCTGTCATCCACGGGCTGAGGTGCACCCGCCCCCCCCCCTCTGGGAGGAAGGAGAGTCCAGGGCTTTGCCAATGGGCCATGTGGCCACCATCTGCCCAGCACCAGACCTGGTGGTACTCTGCCGTGGCCTCCGAGTGCGAGGGTTACTCCCTCCCCACCCCAAGGCCATCCGCCTGGGATGGGAGCTTTCCCTGGAGTGAGGCCGAGCTCAGGAGCTCACGGATGGACGGGTCACCGGGTGTCACTGTGTGGAGGCGGCTCCTCCACGCCCAGCATGCTCCCCTTGAGCTAACTTTAGTCAGGCTCCCGAGACCTCAGCCGCGGCTAGGACGCCCTTGGGCTTCTGCACGCGCTTGCTGAGTCCCGTCGGTTTAGAGGGACTCCCGCCCTTGGTGGGGAAGCTGGCGGCCCCACCTTGCTGTCGCTGGCCGTGGCCGTGGACCCCGTGGCCTGGGAGGAACTGGGGGCCCGTCGCTCCCACGGCCATTGTCCTGCGCGCCCTTCCTTACCGGCTCTCTGGGGCCAGAGTAACGCTCACCGTCTGCACAGCCTGTGGGCGCCGTGGCGCTGGAGGCCGGCGGCGGGCAGTGGGGGAGGCAGCCTCCGCAGGTCAGAGCGGACGGCGCGGCCCGCTGGGTGGGCGCCTCTCGGTTCGCTGGCTCCTCTGCCAGGGACACCGGGGCGAAGGGGGTCAACCTCACAGGCGGACGCCCCGGGTGCTGCCAGCCACCCGCCCGCCCAGGCAGGACACTGATGCCCTCGCGCAGCTCCAGAGGAGGAGTGGATGAGGTGACATTCGTAAAAGCAGAAAAGACAGGAGACTCTGGGCAGAGAAGGAGGAAACAAAAGACTCTTAAGATGCGGTGTATCCTCCAAGGAAGCCAACAGGTAAATGGAGCGATACACGTGACCACGAACGTGGGCCAGCCGGCACAGACACGGGGCGCCATGAGTCCTCCACGGCTCCGGAGCCACGGACGACCACGGGCCGTTTAGAAGGCAGGCTGGTGCTCGAGGCCAGTGCCCGGTGGTGGGCCCGTGGGCTGCGTGGTCCGATGCCGGTGAGGCTGATGTGGGGTGGGGGTAAGGGACAGACGGACACAGGAATGTCTGACCCCACCTGGGCCCCGTTTGGAAACCTGGCGGTGTGGAGACGTCACCATCCAACACGGCGTCAGCAAAGGGCCTGCACACAGTAAGCATGTGTGATGGCCTGTGTCCCCCGTCTCCACGTGTCCCCTCAACCCTGGGGACCAGGGGCAGGCCGCGGGCCGCACTGCAGTGTGTGCCCTCGCGAACATCAGCTTGGTGGGGAGGCTGTGGGCGGGTCACAGGGAGGGGTGAGGACTGCGGGGTGGACAGATGGGGGCCAGGGCCAGACCTGAAATGGGGACTTGGGGACACATGGGAGGGGCGGTGTGTTGTGTCCCCAGCCGTCCTGGGTCCCATGCTGAGCAGCCCTGCTCTGACCCCAGCCAGCACAGCACACAGGGCCCCTCCCCATGCTGCCCTGCCCTCCGCACCTCTGTCTTCCCTGCCCCCCCCCGACCTGTGCTCACCTCCTGTGACCTCCCTGCTGGCCCCTTCCTCACCCAACCTCATTTCTCCCTGGGTTGGCCCTTCCGAGGGGCAGCAGCCTGGGCACCTTCCTTGGACGCCCAGTGGGTCTTCCCCGTAGCCACACACTGGCCCTGCTAGGAGGGGGATGGACAGAGCCCCCCCCCCCCCCC